TTTTCAAATACAACAACCTCTTACCACTTTATATAAAACCTAATTAATATATAATTTAAATATAAAAAAAACGAAAACGCAATACTTTGCAATTACTGACTTAGTATCTCGCAACTAAATATAAGTCCGGTGCACTTAGTTTTTGGTCGGTAGCATCCTTTCTTTGTTTGGTTGTACATAACACTTTTTATTTTAAATTTAAGTAAGAAATATTTATAGTTCCGTTCCGACAAAGTTAAACATGTAATCTTTTACCTTAAAAAGATGTTTTTAACTTTTCATTATTCTTTTAATAAGCTTCTGATGTTTAAACATGAGCAAAATTTTTAAGCTTAGTATTAAAAAGCACGCGCTAGTGTAACCAAAAACAAAATATACTATGAAAAAATTCATTCGTACATCTTATGTCATCGATATCCTGATTCCTTTATTTATAAACAATCCCCTCGTTATGTGCCACGGTAATAAATTACATAAAACATCAAGCAGCGTATGAAAGATATGTCATTTGTTAAAAAACTACCAAAACTTCTTCTTTTAAAAACTAAAATGCTCGAAAGCCCAAAAGACTCGCACTATTTTTAATATACCTAACACTGAAAGCTATTATAAGCGTAGTTTACAGGCAAAAGTCGTTAGAGGCCAGGAGGCGACCACAAATAGACGTCAAAAAACTATGGACCCCTAGTTCGGGGTCTTTATGTCCCACTTGGGACGCATAAAGGTGCGGAGGTGCCCTAACCCTATCGAAAAGATGTGACCACGTGATGGATGGCACTATCACAACCCTCGCCATCCTTCTGTTTTCTGCTCGACGTGTCTCCTTGTTTATTTATTTTATGTTTTGTTTATGTGCGAACACCGGGCCCTCCGATACATTGTTGCGTTAAATGTTAAATATTTTTTCTTGTTGCTACTTTTTATTCAAAAACGCCATGTGGAAGAGTCGAAGCGATACTTTTAAAATAAAATTCCTATGACATCACTGATCATTCCACCTTTAGAGTCAGAATAAATTATTAAAATCGCGTAAAAAAACGTGTCAAACTAAAACGGTCTACTAATTCACTGTATTCGCGTAAAGGTGGGCATTAATTGACATTGACACCTGTCAATTTTTGTCGAAGTAACGTACAACATTTTTACTGAGAGCTCTTTCGATTGTTCATAAAGTATTTAGATAGACTATTCAGAGTTACCGCGACAGGATCGGAGCTAAATTATGCAGATGTATAATGGACAGCCAGCGGTCGAACGGTTAGACGGAAATAGTTTTTTGGTGACAATCGAGGAGGTTTTTTATTGGAAACCTTCTTATGTTTTATGGTACCCCGGTGCTACCGTATTTGACGTTATGACCAATGAGTTTTGGATTTTACGAGACTTGCCGGAATAATTTTATGTGCGAATGTGAAACGTGTTCTTTATGTGTGAAATAAAGTGTCTTTAAAATATTTCTAACCTGTGACCCAAAAAAAGGTACTACTAGCTTTTGTTACTGTAATATTAGACTATTCAAATTAAAATCAAAATCGACTAAAAAACAAAACTAAGATCAAAACAGTTTCCCCAAATTCGAAAATTGAATTTCCAACGGCACCATTATTCTGTTTAATGCAATGGTAACAATGCTCTAGTGAGACGGTAAATGGCATCGATACTAATCTGCGGAGCCGGAAGCGCCCGCGCTGACGGCCGTTCGGAAGCCGCAACTGGGCTAGGAAATGAGATAGGTGCGTTCTAACTCCTAACGTGCCATGCTAGCCTGGTACCTGTCTACTGTGATGGAATTGGGACATTGTGACGAGCTCAGATACGTGCGCACTTCGCATGGATGGTATCATCCCTGTACTTATGAACTAAGACAATGAAGTTGGACGAACTGAGGACAGATTGTCCCAGTGTTGGGTGTCAAGGGTATTGTAAGACGGCCCTGCGTGGCCTTTTGTTACTTTAGACGAGTTAGAGGACGTGGCCCTTACTAGTTATCTGTAAATAGATGTTTATTTTAACTAAATAAGTACACAGTTTAATGATTAGCGCTATAACAAGGTACACAAAGCGTTTCTTTCCATTTTGTAAAAACAAAAAGTCTTGGAATCACTTAAAGCAAAGAAATTGAAATTATACTAAGTATGTACAAACCCTTACTTTAAAAGTAAAACAATAAAGAGTTTTGTATATCAATCGGGACATCAAAGCGGCCGTATCATTAAAAATTAAGAAAAAAGACTGTAAAGAAGGTTACTACATCTTCCAATCAAAATAGGACCTTATGTTACAAGGATTGCGTTGAAATTTGAATGTTTCGACAATTGTGCATGATAGCAACTGTAGGAAATAATAGTGCATGCGCCGGCGCAGGCGGTAAGCTCAAACGGTTGCCAATAAATGTGAAGTAAATGTAAAAAGAAGTAATATTCATGAGGTGTTTCAACGACCATCTGAGCGAGGGCTGTCACGTACCAGGAAGCTTATATATATGTTTTTTACCTTGTCTGACTGTATATTTTAAAAATACAGTCAGATATACAATGAATTGAGAAAAAAACATTCTTTGGTGAGTATCACACATCGCAACTAAAAAATACTGCCCAATAGTAAAACACACGCTACCCTATAATCTTCAACGAATCATGTTTTCAAACAATGAGATTTGTATGTAAAATATCTGTGTTTCCAATAAGAAACTACCAAGTGAATTTTATTAATCCAGAAATGTCGTTTGACAACCCTAGTGTGCGTCAATTCAGTCTGTTTTGCATGCAACTCGCGGCAATAAATAACAGTAGGGTTGGCAAAAAGTGGCGCTTGAACCGGGCCATTGTGCCTCCGTCACAACCGATACCGCGCCTAGATTGTACACCGACAAAACCCAAGATTGACATTAATATACTACGGTAAGGCATTACTTAATTAATCTACTTACTCTTTCTTCTTCTCTATTACATGCTACTCAATAAAAACCTATTTGCTTTCGATACTAAAAATATTACCTAAGCGTCAATTAACTATTAATGGCCTTAACAAAAAAAAGTAACTTTAACGATTCCAGTCGAAATGAATCGCTTGCATAAATTAAACGCGTGTCGCGCATTGATTAGCGCCGCGAGCGAATAAATAATAATCGAGTCCATTCGATTTTGAACCGAATGAATCGGATCGAAAATATACCGGTCGTTGCATTTATACACCCGATGGCTTCGTATGAGATAAAAGATGTATTATAGAGCATTGGTGTGAATATATGTATATGAGTAGAACCGTAGTATCGATTACACGGGGCTATACCGATGGACAGTACAAACGTGATCATCGCGAGAATGAATTTTTATTACAGACGGTAGGGTAGGTGTAAAATATTTTAGTTTTCTTTGCTCTAGTAATAGTGACGGTAGTATTTGTCATATTAGGGATTATTTATTGGTGATAAAAAATACCGGAGGTACTCAATGCACTGAAATGGAAATGATAATTGTTGATTATAATTTAGATTTGACTGCACGGATGGCGTAGTGGTTTAAGCGGTCGCCACGCCGCTTACTACTACGCTGAGTGTTGTGCACATGGGACGACGCTTTGTGTCATCCACAAATTGTTGTTCTAAGTCTGGGTGTTCTTTGTGACCCTTTCATGTATGTGTGTAAAGTCCCCCGCGACACAGGATATATCCTAAAGCGGGAGTTGTCTTTAAAAAAAAAAGATTACGGCTTTTTGGATTGGCTTGTTGATCTAGTGGTTAGCGATTCTGACTGGCCAAAGGTTCGATTCTCAATCAGGAGAAATATTATACGATGAACACGATCATGTATTTTGTGTCTGGGTATAATTAACCATAGTAAGCATGTTTTTAGAACAATGTGTCCGGTTGCAAGAGTACGTAAGTGGTACTTATTAATTTTCATACCGAAATATAACTTTGTATTGTATTTGTAATCTTGTAACTGAAGGTTCAGCCGAGGGCTGGGTTTCAGTTCTCGCCTTTCGTTAAATATCTGCATAATAAAACCTAGCACATTAGTACAACCATAGAACGTTACCTGTTGTAGCATTGCACATTTTAATACATTCTGTACTTGAAATGTATATCACGGCATTTCGTACCCAATACTGTATCAAACAGCCGAAGACAGGCTCATATCTAAAATGAAATAAGATCAGAACCGGATTACGCACATTCCACATATCTGGCGAGTACACCGGCACGCATAAACAGCCCGATATCGGGCACGCAGCTTGACAAATTTCATATCTAACAGATATCGATGCGGTGTAAATCATCGCGCGGTCGCACCGCCTTCATGTCGCCCGCCCGCTTGAGTTATAGTGTGGATGCAGCTTTATTTTACGACGCCGGCTGACATGTGATGTGCGTGAGCGCATAGTTCACGCGCATTGTTGCCCTGCTTGAGTGTTATTTGTGGAGATGAATTATTTGTTTTGTCAAAATATGAAATTTATTTGGTTAAATCTTAATTGGAAAATTGGCATAGCTATCATAATAATATGTATTATATATAAGTAAAAGTTAAATTCAAGTCAAGTCAACCCTTGTTTGCCTTCCGAATAAAAGTTGGAAAAACAGAGTACCAGGAGAGCAGGCGGCGTGCACAACACGATGCCTACCAGGATTACATAAGATATAACAAGTAGAACACAGTGCTATCTCGAAGAGGGCGCGCCCTGCGGCGTTGCAAATATTTGCACGCCACCGACGACGCCCTGTTTGCCTAGTACATAGCCGCTATGCGTATAGCTCTTTGCCTCTGAAGACCTGGGCCTCAATTCTTCTATTTTATGTTAACGCCAAGCCACTGTAATTCCATTGACACGCTATTGAAACGCCATTGACATCGGTCATAATATTAGTATTCTACTAACAAAAATTCACAGTGTCAATAGCAGAATTGAGGCCCTGGTGGTAACACACCAATAATACAAAAGTTTTACTAATTAGACACACATTTAAATTTCATCTAATAAAATTATGGTGTTCCAAAATGGAAATCTCTACAGAGTATCTCACACCACAGTACAAAGTACAGTTTCGGTATGGTAAACCGTCGGGCGTGAAGATACAAGGCAAGGAGCACTTCGACAAATCGCCCAACCACGCCAATACTGTGTCGTCAGCAGAGCCCGAGGCTCGGGGCGGAGCGCCCGCCCCCGCACACGACCCGTACTTGTCTCCAAATTGGACCCGGGGCTCTAATGGGGCTCAGGGATAGAAGTAAGGGTCAAAGGTACAGATAAAACTAGTAATTGGTGAGATAATGATTTGTTAGGAGTTATTTGTTTAGTGTATTGTGTAAGAGATATAGAAAAGGGGGAGATTTTAACGGATAAATTAATTAATCTAGTTATTTTTCAAAAATTGATCTATTAAATGCATAAGTAATTTTTGGAAAGATTAGGGTATTCCACCCGGTAAAGCTTTATTAAAAAAAAAAAAAATTAAGTTAGTAAAATTAAAAAAAAAAACTTATATATTTAAATGTGTCGCGATGGTTAGTGAAAGTATTAACAAGCCTATGAAGTTGGCCAATCCTCGCCAGCTAGCTAGCCTAAATTGATAGTCGACTTTAGTTAATAAAATTTACAGGATTTATTTATTACCTTGCTTACTTTGTGTCCATTTATATAAAAATGTTAAGTTGGTTTGTGTACGCTTAAAAAACTCATAAACTTCTGCACCGATTGAGCTCAAATTTTGAAACGATATACGAGTACCTACAACCAGCTTCAAAGATTGTTTTTATCTATTTTTATGTCAGTTCAGTTTCTAATTTTTCATATATGCTATCACAATGTGCATCAGCAATGCTTGGCAAGGTACAGCTAATACGTTATAAAAGCGAATAGTTAACTCCAATCGCAATCGCGTATCGCGATAAAAGCTACGAAACGATAAAAAAATATACGATATATACGAAGATACGAAAAAAAAATCCCTTATACTTTGTCGTGATTAAATTTTTAAACAATATTAACAGCTTAGAACTATATCTTAGATCAACAGAAATTCGACAACTCAAACTGCTTTAATCTTGGTTCTAGGACGTACCCGGAACATGTCGGCCGGTGAGCATACCTGACGTCCGATAAATCAGCGGGATCGCTCCCCAGATCAGACCAGCGGTCATCGTATCGAACCGGCTTCGCATAAATAATGGCCAAAGACGGACAAACTTGTATTCTGCCGTAATTATTTAATTAATAGACTAAGACGAGTTTTGCAGGGTTAAGTCCAGTCTGGAGTTAGGTTAAGTCTAAAAATAAACTTTACTGTGTTGTAGAAAAAATATTGATGTGAAAAATAATATTTATCTTTGAAGGTTTAGAAAAAAAATTGTATACGGTTCTTTCTTGGCTTTTTAATTGAAATGAATTATCTATGGTAAATTTCGTCTACAACTCTACCATAGTACATTTGGATAAGTTTTTATCTCACGTTATGACGTAATAATAATATGTGTGTGTATTTTAAACTAAAACTATTACGTCATAAAAACAGTAAAAGGCTTTAATTTTAAATGTTAACGAGATTATGATACAAAGGTCATGCTGTTAATAAACTTAAATAAATTAAAGAAAAGATTTCAATCAAAGTTTTACTTTAAATAAGAATAGCAATATCTATCAATGAACGAACCATGTTATTATGTGAACAAAAACAAAAGTCGAATTTAGAAAACAATATCTTACAAAGTCGTACACGTGAATGGCCGTACAATTACAGAGCACGAGTCACAATGACTCCTAAGTTTCAAACATATTTTTTCTAAACCCTTCCCACGCGTAAAGCTTGAGAGTAATTATAGGTTAGGGTCAGTAATAACATATAGCATCAATAAAATTGTATATCATTCAGTTCTGTTTCCCGGGAACGCGTCGGGTGATTAGCGCGGCCATCTTGTGGGCGGTAACACCCGAAGGCGACACGATCTTCGATTCCATTTTCAAAAATAACACTAATCGGCGAATACAGCACGCGCGGCGACACCCGTACGTGTGTTTTTTAAATTTCGAATGTACCCAACGTCCTACGACGTTATTACCTCGCTGGGATTTGACTACTGTCACTCTTGACAGAAGTGATTGACGTTTATAAATACCGCGAGTCAAGTGCGAGCTTGTTATATTCCGTTCGGAATTCAAGATGTATATTCTTTTTTATAAATGCGAAGGGTTTGTGTCACAGACATTTTCCAAAATTCTTCTTATGAAAACTGACATTAATTTTTATATTAGATGCATACAGGAGCTTTACGATATAACTTTAATTAACAGTTCTGTTAAGTCTCATATACGAGTGCATATTAAAACGTCAAAAAGTGTACATTTCCTTTTGCTTCTCATTTTCGGTGGCCTCCCCAATATCGTCGCGTCATGAGGGAGACAGCCTGGCATCGGCCGACGGACATTGGTTTTTGAGAGATGCAATAGAAAACCGCCTGTTTTACCAGGAAATAGACGGGGAATTGGAATTTTCAATTTCGTTTTGCTTGGTTACTTTGTACGAATGGAAAAACGTTAGCAATTTTGAATAGGAAACAAAAATGGACCACACATTCAGCATGTCAAAATGACAGTTCATCTTTTTTTTAAATCGAATTTAGACATGTGTTTTGTAATGTAGTTTCAGAAAATATTGTTCTTACTAAGAGATATAATAAATATTCTGTATATTATCTAGTTTTCAGTATTGAGCATAATGTTTTATGATAACAAAGAAAATTTTACACCCAATGAATAAAAATTATCCAAAAATGTTAATCTAAGAAGCGAACAGAGAAAATCATTCATTCATATTCATAGTGGTAATACGGAGCGAAGCTTTCAAGAAAATGGTTCTCTGTTCTAGGAAGAGTCGGTACGAGATGCATGAATATTAACACCGTACCGGTACCAGGGTGGTATAACTATATTAGAGCTAGCGTACTGCATGCCAACGGTAGGGGCACGTTTGAAGTTGCGCCCGGCTACGTTCTGAAATTTGACATTTTGACAGCTCTCCGACGTCGACTGCCTTGTCTCCCGTCCCCCTCCTTCACCCGCCGTTGACTGCAAGCTATCTCCCTCACACAATAATAACATTACGTGCACGGTATTCCTGTTTCTGCTACGTCTGACTTGTGATATGAATTGTTAATGCATTGGTAATTGATATTATAATTTTGATAGGCCATTTTGTTCTAATGGTTGTGCTTTTAGTGTAAGAGGTGGTTAACTTTGTTGTTACCGTTAAATAGTCATGTGATACAAGCTTTTATGTGGTGTTGTGATGGCGTCTTCTAGCTTTGTTTAGGATTCTTTTGTCTTTCGATTTAATGGGTGGTGGGGGATCTTTGATTTATTGAGTTGTAACATTATAGTGTTTATGTAATATTAGGTATTGTATGTAACAATTGAGATATAATTCCTTGAATGGATTTTCAATAATATCGTGTCATAAGAAGTACTTAAAAAACTAGACATAGCTTTTAGAGTCGTTTAGTTCTTTAAAGTTTACATTCGTTACTGATTGAGTGAAACAATTTTATAATAAACTATCATTATTAATCACCAATTCAAGTGTATCAGTTCTAACTCTTTATTACATAAAGTATTTTTATGTTCAAAGCTTAAAAAATTCTGTTTGTATTTGTTCCAAAACAACACTTAGAAACCACAAAGCACAAATCTTAAAGTCACAAGTAAAAGTCATATGTCCATTCAAGAAGATTGACGTAAAACAATCTGTTCAGAAACTACAATCATAGACAACGTTTTTTCAAAAAACTAGAACAGACAGTTTCACATATCAGTCATGATTTAAACAGGGATTTTTCAATGGCTCTTTGAAATTTGAAAGACAGCCAAAGAATCAGTGTTAAGTTTGACACGGAACAGGGACAAAGTAAAAAAACTGATTTCCAGACGTAGACACATGCTAAGTAATGAAAGTCTGCATGAAAAACAGTATAGGTGGAGGACAGTCCTGTCAATCGGCTGTCAACGAACAAAAAGGAGTATTTAAGGTTCAAAATAGCTCGTCAGTTAAGGTTAAATTTGCACTATGCCGTAGGGAGATTCCGTGACGTTCGGAAATAGGAAAAATAAGGCTGAATTCAGTGTGCATCGACCGTTTGGATTTTTAAATAACGGTGGTTAGTCGGTAAATGTGGATGTACTCAGTAACGTATGCTGTTGGTTTTGTCTCCTTGCTTTTGGTATAGACTTTACAAAAGGATCAATGTCTGATGGTTGAGATGATAAAACTGACGAAAGGAGGGCAGGAATAAAAGTGAGTCTTTGAGGATCGTATTTACTATAATTTAAGTCTGAATATTGTTTACTTTCTTTAGGGTAGGGGGGCAAACTAGCAGATAAGTCACCAGATTTTAAGTGATTACCGCCACTCATGAACACCTACGACTTAACTTTTTTTTCATGTAATGGATGGCAAACGAGAAGATGGGTCACCTAATGGAAAGCGACTACCGCCGCCCATGAATGCCTGCAACTCAGGAGCCAGCCTTTGAGGAAGGAGTACGCTCTTTTCTTGAAGGTTTGAAGGAAACATACTAATAAGATTGATATTATTAAAATCAAAAATATATTATCTGAACTTAACTCCAAAATTTTCACTTTCATAAAATTAAATTTAACGAAAGCTAAATGTTGCAAAAATAAAACTGTTTCAAACAAACAAAACTGCTTGACGCAAATAAACAGTTACGAGGTACCACGGCATCATATCAACGTAGAAACATCAAAGAAACTAAGAACAAAGTGAAAACAGAACTTCGGCCGTTTGATTAGGCGCGTTCTTAACATGCGACCGCCTCGAGCAACGCTTTGTTACATCCATCCTTTGAGTTTGGAACGTTGGCACAATCAAAGCGGTACGGTTACTTCTTGTCGATCGCTGAGAGCTTGGTACGTCCTATGATCTGACAGCATAACATTGACTCTCAAAGCGATGTCGACAGACAAATTTGAGATAAAGATATTAAAAATTAGACATACAAAGTGCAGTCTACTCTGAAAAATCAATCAGAGATCAAAAGAAAAGGATATACTTAGTTTCGCAAAAAAAATATTTTCCACGAATAAAAAAATGGAAATTGAGGGGAGTGGCCGTTGTAGGCGACGCTGGCTTTTTGACATTTATCCATCCATCACAGCATTCATCATTTAACTGGTACACATTTGCAAGCAGTACTCCATTCCTAGAAATTGGCAT